TAAATACTATAAGTAAAGACGTCGGACTAACTATAGTAATAATTATTCTGCGTGACGTTATTTCCGAGCATTTTCAAACGATTTCGTTTAAAAATAATAATATTCATTCATAATCTCAGTAGGCGATCAGGTTTATTATTCTATTTTCGTTCGTTTTCCGGTGTAATCATGTCAGAACATTAAAAAGGAAAATCGTGACTGTTATTTTCATTTGTGTTTTACGTGAGTTTGGCGAAAAAAAACCCCCGATTATATATTCGTTCCGTGGCGATAGGAAAACCATATTGTTGGGCATTTAATCGTATTGTACGAATAATTTTTCTCTCGCGGTGTGTAGGATTTTTGGTATTTTCTGTAGGTCTCGCGTATAATCTCGTTTTGCGATGTCTTAGAACTGGGCGTATAATTCACTACGCGTTTGCTATTTATATAGTACGTGCGCCCCTTTTAATCCCTTTCGCTGTACATTTACCGATTAGATGTTTGAAGCCACGAGTGCCCGATGCTCAACACATTTTATTATTCGATTACAGCTCCCATATAGCTCTGTACAATTATACATGCATGCATTTATATATATATATATATATTATGACTGTGATATAGCGTGAGTTTGAAATTGAATCTAACTAAATCGGAGATAATCCGGGATTCGGTATCCATTCGCTCGACGCAGTCCCTTTTCCTCACTGCATAGTACTAACAGTATTATCTCTTTAATTTTCAAACTCAGATTTCTCTAAATATGTATAGAAAACGGCCGAAGGAGAATTTCGACTTCACTGCGAGATGCGTATCAAGTAATATAAATTGTTGCATACGCATATATATATAAATTTTTTTTTTCAATAGTTTCAATAATACATATTTCACTTCACCCCAACGTATAAATTCCGACTATAAAAAAATTATAGCTAGTAAAAATGTACAACATGAACAGAAATTACAAAAGGCAAAACACACTGAAGTAGTAAACTAGTTTTAGGTTTTATTATTTTAGGAGTTTTACGTAATTCGAATAGTACAAGTTTTGTAATAGTTTTATCGATTTTTCACTATCTTTCATACCCGCGTGACGATGCCGAAAACGGCGAAATTTTATATACATTTTTAATTCTTTTAATGTGTCTAGGTCGTAATTAAACATTTTTAAATTAAAATTGATTCTGTTTTACAAATAAGAAATTTAACAGCTTACCTGTAATACATTTATTATAGTAATCTCAAATACCTTCAAACATTTTATTTTTGGTTACAGCATTGACACTACGGGTGTGAATTTATTTTGACGTTTTATCTGAAAGTTCTACACATTTTTATTTATGATTTTACGTTCTTCCGTCAACTAGTCTAATTTTTAACTGCTCTTGGTTTGGCTTTTTATTTACTTTTTTTTTTTTGGATATAACATATGCTGCTGGCTATCTATCTAATACTGACTGAACAAGTTTAGGACCCAGAGCGGGTGACGGCAGAGGTAATGAACATTATTTTGACATATATAGTTATATATATAGACGGCTATCAGACTTGAGAAAGAAACCACTAGAGATCGAAATTCCAAACCCTCTACAACAGTTGCACATACAATACTGTTACGTTTTTCAATTGTCTAACCTTCCCCCAAAAAACTTTTACACATTTATGGTGTATAAACGATAAATGCCCACCGAAATAATAACTATCAATGTTTCAAAAAATAGACTTGATTTAAAAAAAATATTCACAGTTGTATAATATATATTTTAAATACCTACCTAGGTTTTTCACAAAGCATAAATTTATGATTTATATTGTACAAACGATTTATCGTTTTTATGTTTTCGGGTATTTAAACGTTATACAATTATTAATGTTTAACGTTATTTTATTTTTCCGTTCAATGTCATTGTGTTTTTAAATGTTATTTTTCTTTTTCTGTTAAAATGTTAAAACGTAAAAAACACAAAAGTGTTTATAATCCAATACATCATAATATTACATCTAATATTTTATAGAATACACTGTCTGTATTACTTCTATTTAAAATACTTTACTTGAAATTATTTTTATACAAGCATCTATGGAAATTTTATTGTAAACATAATGAAAAGTAAAATTAAATAATTGTAGTGAATAAATATAAATTATAAACCATAATAAACTTATCTATTACAGTATTATAAAATAAAAATATACTACTGGCTAGTAGATGAAATATTGTTAAACAAAAAACGGAATGAATAATTAAATTACGAAATATATACAAATGTCAACTTTAGGTATAAATTGCAACGTACAATACAATTAGAAATGGCATATTTCAACATATTTCAACAAATTATATTATGCACTCCAAATCACAGAGGTTTAATTCAACATAAACAAGATAAATTAGCGGGATTACAGAAATAAACTAATATACATACCTACAAACAAAGTTCACACGGAGTGAGCCGGTAACAATCACTCCAAAATGCCAGAATTTCCCGAGTTCATGACTCCGCGTGAACTCTACTTTTTTTATATTTTATGTATAAAACGACAATAAAATGTTTTTGAAAATATAATTTATTGTTAACACCACACAGGTTAGCCAATAATGAACTTTTAACACCTATAAAGCAGAGGGGTTTTTTAAATTTATTTTGACCACAGCACACTTCGCTTTATAAATTAATTTCACGGCACAGTGTGGCTCTCTTTTCGGTCATAGTTCAATTTTTTGTACGAAATTAGAACTAATGAAAAAATGTATGAGTCATTATAATTATCGAATTATAATCAAAAGAATTACGACTTCATACTTAAGGAGCGGATCATCGTAACCTGTGGTCCGTCACAATTTATGGAAATAAAATTTCAAAAGACCGTGGCACACCTATTGAATGCTCGCGGTACGCTAATGCATCATGGCACCCAGTTTGAAAACCACTGTTATAAAGAGATTAAAAAAACTAAAAAAACGTAAAAAATAAAAAAACAAAAGTTTTTTAGAATAACGTTATTTGCAATTATTTGTTCACATTACAGTTCCGTTTATTGTTTATTGTTAATCATTAATTGTGATTAATAATACATTATGTACAATGGCATTCAATTTTTTCCGTTATGACGTTATAAATAAGTAAATAACGTTTTGAAACCCTGGTTTTTATAATTGTTGAATAGTTTTTAAAACAATTTTTGTATTTAGATTCAAAGAGCAGCAAGGGAATATAGAGGTTAGAATTTAGAGTATACCATTTTTTTTTAATGCAATTTTATCTATTTTATGTATTGAAGTGGTCATTTTTTTATTATTCCAATTTTTCAAAATAATTAGGAAAAACTGGAAACATTGGAAATTGGAAATTATAGGTCATAAAACGGAACTTTTGCAAACTAAGTTTTCTACCAAAAATATTGCTTTAATCGAAAAATGCTTTTTTGTCAAATTTTTGTATCTAAATACTCACAAAGAAAGCCGTTTTTTTGGTTTTCCAAATAGTTTTCATAATAATTGATAAAACAGAAAATAAACGAAAAATGAAAAACGATGGCGTACGATTTAATTATTTAACATTTATCCACATAATGTTTTCTACCAAAAATATTGCTCCTATCGAAAAATATCAGTAATCTTTTTTATTGAATTTTTTTATCTTTTTGTGACCCAGAAAGTAATTTTAGATTCTAAGTGGAGCGAATAAGCTTACGGTTTTACAAAGATGTTTATTTTATTTTTTTATGGACAACTTTTTTACCAGAGGACTCGCTCCGATTTTTACGTGTAACAACTTTTATAAAAGGAAATCGGTGTGGGGGAGGTACTTTAAGGGGGGTATTTTTTGATTTTTTTAATAAATTTCTAATCAAAGCGAAAAGCCGAAAAAAAATTGAGGAAAAACAAGAAAATATAAGAAATGTAAGTATTAGTTAAAATATATAAAAAAAATAAAAAATATATGACCTTATTTTTTCCTGTGCATAACTTTTCTACCAGCAATTTCGCTCCAACTAATAATGATAGCAGTTTTTCTAAAAGGAAATTTCACTGAGAAGCTATACTTTAGAGAGGTCATTTTTTCGATTTCTTAGGAGTTTTCTTATCAAATTTGAAAAACCGAAAAAAAAAACGGACCTTATATTATCTTATCTCATATCATCTTTATGTATCTTACCTTCTCAACTTCTCACATAATCAATTGCACACTTGTCTTCAGTTCTTTTTTATTCTTATTATTTAATTGCATACAACTGTGACAGTACGTTGAGGTCACTGAACAACGCTGAATATGTAAAACGCACATAATAAATTTCTTCATAGTCTACCAGTTTGTGTAATATACGTTGTTAAAAAATATTCACTCTTGCGATTATACATCATCGTCGACTTAGGAAAATTTGCAATTTACCTAAATGACCGATGGCGTGTTACGTCATGGTCCATAAATCCTAATTATTACGATATACGGTCGATTATAATATTATAAATAACCAACAAACAGTAATAAAAATAAATATGGTTGAAAGGTTTCAGTTTATTTTAAAACATATCAGTATAACATTTGCATGAATAAATAACTGTATAAGAAAAACATTTTGGAAATCTCGCCCCTTTGATGGGTAAATTTCCTGAAAGTTTGGTGATGTTTAATTGTCCAGGCCGATCCTCGAATTTCGGTAAATACCGTTAAATAAGACAGTTCCCGACATTTTTCCCTAATAATATTTCCCGAAGGTCGTCGTCTTTCCTAAATAATAAAAAAACTCATTTTTTCTCATACAATTATTATAATTAACTCTATTATTATTATTTGTTTTTGTTTACCATATTCGTGAATATATTACTATTGTAACGTCAAAATTACATTACTGAATTAAAGTATAATTAAAAGTACATGTGAATAACATTTTAGCCGCTATTTTAAATTCAATTCTTTAAACTGGTTTATGAACAGAAATATTCGTGTTAATTAATGTTCTTACGTAAACCTCTAGCTTCATATAAAGCTTCATATAAAAATACTTAGGTATTCATACGTCTAGGTAGCACTGCCAACAACACACAATAAATTACCTACCATACAGTTTTATTGACAGCGTTCTTCATTCGACTAATTCCGTCCGCGAACACTGTTTTTCATTGTTTTCATATAAAATGTATTTGCATAAGCGTCTCGACGAGACCCAACTGGAATTTGTGACCAAACAAGATTACTATCGGACTGACGAACAACTCGACGAGGATGTCACGATGCTCATAGAATGGATGTCTAAACAGCCGCACTTGCCCGAAATATCAGGTAAGTTGGAGAGGAGGGGACGAGAATCCGGGAAGTACGGTTATCCATTGCTAACGAAAAACGATTCTCAACGATATTCGGCTATACATGTTTTGAAAAACCGTTATATTTACGATTTAAAATCAAAGTTTGAAAATAAAAATCATAAAAAAAAAAAAAATATTACATTAATCTAAATTTTTTTGATAACTTATTTTCAAGTATTACATTTCTGTTGGGTCTAAAAATTTTAAAAACACTCGCAAAATTAAAATGTCTATAAAAATCTCAAAAATAAATCAAATACCTAACTTTAAAATGTTGCCACGACTAGAAAAGCCAAATATAAGGTTTTTGTCTAAATGTTAAGTCTCTGCGAATATGTTTAACTGATTTACATTGTACAAGCAAAATTAAAGATAATAAAACAATTATTTTCGTAAATTATTCCGTTCTTTCTATGCACTTTTTGTTTTTCTCAATTGTTAAAAAAACTACAAATAAAATCAAAAAATACTCTCTTGATTATCAACTATATTAAACGCACAACAAAGATTAACTTATTTTGATTTTCTATTTGAGCAATTTTTCTAGTAGAAAACATAAGCCGTACATTTTTAAAATAAAGAAATTCTAGCGCCATATAATTATCGGTTTTCATTTTACGATTTTTTCCGATTTTTCCTGATTATTAATAAAACTACAAAGAAAATTGAAATACGAATAACTTTCTCGTGAACTGGATTAAAAATTCAAACAAAAAAATGCAATTACCGTTTATCTGTCTGAGCAATATTTATGATAGAAAACACAAGTCGTAAACATTTATAAAAATGAAATCGTACCGTAATTTGAGAAAAAAAAATCGTATATTTTGTTTTGTTTTTTTTTTTTTTTTTTTTTGGTTTATCTCAATTATTGCGAAATCCACATTGGTTATTGAAAAGCTCTGCGGTGGCGAAATATTAAAAGTGATGAAATCGACGGCTCCCATAGATCGGAGCAATATTTGTGGTACTAAACATTATGTTAACATGAAAACGGTAACACCGCGGCACGCCGTAAATGCATACAGTTTTTTCTACGATTTTCTTTCGGGTTTTTCCCAATCAGCGGTGTATTTGGGGTTATACGCCGGGCGTACGCTCAATACGCTGTTTTTGTCCACGGCGTATGGCTTATGATGAATCGACGACACGCGGGTATACGGTCGCATCCATCGTGTATACCGTATGAAAATTATAAATACCTATTATACATTTACATGGATTATTGTAAAATACATTTTGATGAGCGCGAATTTGAATACAGGGGGTGACACGTAACACGAAGATTTACTTCTTTTGTTTTTTTTTTTTTTTCTACGAAAAATTATTGTTATTTAAAAATTAAGGTTTCGTTATCAGTCTTGTTATCAAGCATTCATTATCAAATTATCCATAAAGTAAATATGTTGTGGGAGGGGATTTCGGTCGACCAAATCTCACTGTCATCTATCATAATATTTAATACATATTTGAATTCTTACTGTGATAACTCATTGAGTGATGAATAACGATAATATTATACATAATATTTTACTAATATATTTCGTACATTTTCCCGTTTTTTTTTTTTCTTTGGGTTTTTTTTTTTTTTTTTGGTACTTTACATTTCATGGGAAAACCCCTGAGGAAATTTAAAAATAACCTCATTAAAGTACCTCCCCACACCGATTTCCTTTCAGAAAAGTTGCTACACGTCAAATAAGAGCTTGTCCTCTAGTAGAAAAGTTGTCCACAAAAAAAAATAAATAAAATAAACATCTTCGTAAAACCGTAAGCTTCTTCGCTCCACTCAGAATCTAAAATCACAAATATAATATTTTAAAAATCGATAAAATGTTTTGAAAATTTTACCACTTTTAGAAAATATAAGTTATCTGTCAAATTCTTAAGAATTTAGGGACATTTTTAATTGAATGTAAAATTTAATATTGATTAACGTTAGTATTTACGCCACCGTGTATAAGTATATGTAATATCTATTGCGTTTATAATATACCGAAATATTTATCGTCAAAAACTTTTTAAGCTCCGTTAACGTTATCATAAATTGAATTGTATTTTTTTTCAGTGTTATGAATTTTCAAAAACTAGTTTTGCGCCATATTTTAAATATAAAACATTTATTTTGAATTGAATGTTTTAGATTTTGTTGTGGATATAATTAACAAATTTTAATGTTATTGTCTAATGTTTAAGACGTATTTTTTTTGCATATTTATTAAATTTGTTTCCATAATTTACTTTAAATTTTTGTTGATATTATTTTATTTTTTTTTTATATATATACATATTACGAGTTGTTTAAATATTTTGTTTGATTTAACTTATAGTACTTCCAGGTTCTATATATTTATAATTGTTCACAGATAGAAAATGGTTATCACATTTTATCGTCGGATGTAAGTATAACTTGCGCAGAGCCAAACAGACTATGGATGCATATTTCGTATCCCGAGCGGAATATCCTGAATTAATTTGTACGTTCGACTACGAATATTTAAAAGAAAAAATGAAAACAGGGCAAGTTTTTATTATTTTTGACTTATAATAAAAATGCGTTGTAAAGTATTAGTGTAATTTATACTTTGAAATAATATTAAAATAATTAATGTATTAACGAGAACAAATATAATTTTGTTCCTATGTACGGTTTTCAAGGTTTTTACTTTAAGGTCGCGTTTTAATTTTTGTCTGTGATTTTACCTGATGAAGAATTTTTAATTAATTCGAAACCGGTGGTACAATGAAAATATCATAATACTCTAAGCGATACATCCATTTGTTTATTTGTTCATTTATTTATTTATTTATATATTTTGTATTGATATTTTTTATTTTAAAAATTATATCATAAAAACTTTTTTTTTTTTACTTTTATTAAATTAAAATATATTTCGCATTTATTATTCTTACAGAATATCTGTTGTGCTTCCAAAGTTGACACCGCAGGCTAACCGGGTGGTAATAGTCAATATAAAGCCAATAGAAAATCATGTAAAATTGGACTTTTCACTCTTAATCAAACTGTCCATTAGCTATTTAGATTTGTATGTAATGGAAGAGCCTTTGCGAGGGGCAGTTTTAGTGCTTGACATAAAACACCTGCCCTTGGGTCAATTCATGAACATAGAGCCTACTCAGATCAAAACTTTCATAAAAATGACTTTAGTGAGTATATTGTGGACTTTTGTTTTATTAATACCGTGATCTCGTTTTACGGTGAGTATAGTGAGCAACAATTTGTACTATAAACAATTGCATCTAACAATGTCTGTAATTTATAATATCGATGTTATTAATTTTAAAGACGATACAGTGATAAAATCGTATCACTGATTTAAATTAAAAACACGATTTCCAGTGTAGAACTAATAAACTACAGTACACTTAAGAGGTTATCTGGCGATATAAAAAAAATATAGAGACAGTAATTTAAAATCTGTTATATTAGGATTAAATACTGGAAGAGAGAACTTATAGTTATGATGTTGTTTTCGAAAGTATTTCGTAGCACGGAGTTCATCGTAGTTTGAAAAATACTATGAAAAAAACATGATAATCCATATTTTGTTAGAATTATGTACATTATTTTTTTAAAATAACATTCGTTCGACGGTAAATTAATCAATAAATTAATATGCAAAAATTTTATTAAAATTACCTATTTCGGTATTTAATAAATTTTCAGGATAAATCTGATATGAAATATTGTATTTTATTTTACAGAACTCGTTCCCGATAAGCTTGAAGGGCATCCACTTTATAAACCCGCCATCATTCATTGGCCAAGTTATCACTTTCTTGAAAATGTTTTTACCGAACAAAATCAAAAATAGGGTAAGTTGAAATATTGTGTTTACACATCACCATCACAAATTGTCCACAAGGATTTTTATAAATATTATTAAAAAATATGGCATGTGACGCCATATAATTTTTACGAATCATAATCACCTAGACATTCATACGTTCTATAGGGAATGTTACTTTGCAGAGTGTAAACACTACAAGGGTCTAGCTAGACACAGCACCTCCAAGCAGTTTGCTCATCACAAATTCCCGATGTCATAGACTATAATACCGAGGAAAATCATACCTCTTAAAATTATCCACTTGAAGAACGACTTCTTTAGGATAATCATTATTCCTAATTCATTAATGGTATGATTATTCTAGGAAAGTTACCCCCGTTACATCATCTTAGAAGTGAAATATATACTACGATTTACGGAGTATGATAATCCTAAGATTATCGTACTGTGAAATGTATGCTAACCTTGGGATAAGATTTTCTTGTTATACGGTCATAAAGTTTACTTGTTAACATGTTTGTACGGCTGCTATCTATGTATAAAAAAAAATGTACAGTACTTTTAATAATTGCTAACATTCAAAAACGTTATTTAGTTTTACTGCGTCCGGTATAAACTTATATTAAGTACATTATTGATATTGATGCATTTTGCAAGTTGACAATATTTGTCCCGCGTAGTAAGATAAAATGTACACTATTATTGTCAGTAAATGTTACATTAGATATGATTTACATGAAACTTGTTGGCCGATGACCACTTTATCATATACGATACGCGCCGTTTTATAATCGTTTAGATTCCGAGCATAGTGAGGGAGCTATTGGTTTTACAATGCTGTTTATTACTTTGTTTGTTCTAGCCTGTGGGTCTGTTTTTTCCTAGTAAACTTGCTTCGATTTTTACGTTTAGCAATTTTTCTGAAAGCTCAAGTTGTCTAAATGGTACTTTAGACAGGTCATTTTCGGTTGATTTTCGACGCCATTTTTTAAATAAAATCACTTAAGTGGGAAAAAACGTACAACGATTTCATTATTTTATAAAAACACGGTCAATGTTTTCTACCAGAAAAACATGGTTTAATCGAAAAATCACAAGACACCTTTGTTGTCTTTATAATTTACTTTCTTACGGTATCAAAACCAATGAGGCACTTTTGATCTTTTAAGGAATTTTAATTTTTGGGAGTTTTTTTGTTGTAATTCGGTTATAAATTCACGTAAAGACTTGACACTTAGTTATAATATTTATATTGGACTCACCTAGATGTGGTAAAATTTCCAAAATCATTCGACAAATTTTATCTCTTTTTTTAATAATCGTTTTAAAATCAAATCTAAACGAAAATAGCAAAAAAAATTACGACACTTCAAGTTATGTATTACCCTAACTGCGCTCGGAATCGTCTTACGTCAAGCAATGGTTTATCGTTGCTTACAGATATAAATGAAATAACCTTATGCATCTTACCTTCCCAACTTCTCACCCATAACAGTGGCCGCTCCCATCCCCAGTATCAGCTTTTTTAACATATGCATCTTTAATAAAGACGCTGATGTACTTATCTATAAGTATTATAATCCACACCTCAAATAACGGTATTGCCTTACAAATAATATCATTAATATTGCGTTCTTTTAAATTTTGTTTATAGATATTCGTCCACGACACGCTGGAAAGTCTTCAACAATTCGTTCCGAAAAATGTTCTTCCTGACCAATACGGTGGTACTGATGGCGATTTAGATGAAATAACACGTGAGTACCCACAAGTATAATATTTGGATATTATCAAACGTGGAGTTAACTAAGACATTATAATGAACGTTATTAATATTATTGTCATTGTTTGTTTTAATAATTTAGAAAATTGGTTTGAATATTTTAAGTCCAAAGACGAATTTCTTAGAAACAGACCGATGGCCGATTTGTCCAAACGGGTCAGCCAAACAAAAGTTAATGATTTCGGCGCGGAAGGTACATTTAAAAAATTAGAGATCGATTGAAACTATTGTGTAGGTATGTTGAAATATAATATAAGTTTAAAAAAGCGCAATAATTTAAATTGTGATACTTTGTATCTATTTTCTTTGAATTGTAAAGCCCAACGTATGTTGTCATGAATTGGAATAGGTTAGTAAGACGATACGCTACATGATATAATTATAATAATATTTCAAAGTAATATTCAAACGAGTTACTACCGTTACCACTAGAGTAAGATTATTGAATGTCTTACTATTTTGTATTTTTGTATTTGAGATGTATGTTAAGTCTTGGTATAATGTAACTTAAATAAAATAATGTCCTTTTACAGGTAAATTGTTTTTAATTATTATTCCGTTTGTTAATACAGTAGGCATTTTAATATTTTATTATTCGGGTAAGTAGGATAGAATGTTTGTTCGGGTACGAGTGATTTCATCAGTCACCATCAAAATGAATAAAAATTCTGTTTATGATCAACACGGTTATCACAAAAAGGTGAATCATATAGCTCCCTAAGACCAGCTCTAATAATGAAACAAGGTTGCGAAGTATTAATTTAATTTTTTCATTCTTCACAAATGTTAAAATATTTCATCATATAATATCATTATAGCATCTTCAAGCATATTATTTTTGTGTTATTTTATGATTATTTTCAAAAATCATTATTTTTCGTTAATAGTTGTTAAACTTTGTTACTTCTAATGTCATAAATTTTAAGATAAATGTATTTCAGACAATTTTTATATTAAAATTAAAAAAAAATTGCGATAAAAATTAATTGAAAAATAAATATATTACTTTTCATAACTAGTATTAAAAATAGATAATGCTATAAAAAAAAAGTAAATTTTACTCTGCACGCACGTACAAAAAAGGTTAAACAACTGAAATTTATTCCAAGTAAAAATTTAGCATTACTCCCTATTAGTGCCATGTCTAACTAAATTGGTACTTAGTGAGAGTCTGAATTGCACCTGCGGGCTATTTGCTATCTAATATTATATTTTAGAATTATATCAGTTTGATAGGAAGGCGTGAAAAAAATATCTACGGAAATCTCAAGAACTCTGATGTGGTCGATGTATCGGTCGATTATTGCGTGCTTTTAAACCTGAAATAAGACAATTATTTGCCATAGTTAGAAACAAAATAAAAAATACCTGAGTTTTGGTAATGTATTTATTACAATTGTCGAATAATCGAAATGGTGTAAAACAAAACAGAAAATGAGTATTCTGAGCGAAATTCACTAAAGCATGTTTTGAAATGCCATGATTTTTGCAGCACTACTACCATTATGCTTATCAATTGGAGAAAAAAAAATTATTCTTATCAAAATATTATTTACCCTGACCTACCTATTTTCTATAGATGACTAACCAAGAAGAAAAAGTCTTATTTTAAAATGTTTGAAATAAAAAACTTTTATATTTTTTTTTATAAAACTTAAAGATATATTAATAATTTGTTTTTGTTTTGTTATAGTTGTCAAATTTATTTTTCTATAAAATGTTAAAATATTCGAAATTTTGTTATTTTGTTTAGTTATTTCACCGTGAGGGGGGGGGGCGGTGACACACTTGCACTGGGCCGAGTCCTCTCAGTTTCCGTAACGTAATCAGATATTATAACATTATTATCGTACTCTTAACAGCGCTGCAGCTTTTCGGCTCGTATAACCAGTTGAATGGGGCGAAACCATTTTCATTATTATTAATTTTTAATTTTTGTTTATTTTCCGTGCGTTCCCAACGGTACGCGCCGTTCCATTATCATTTTGTCGCGAGTTGCGGGGGCGTGAAGCGAGGGAAATCGTATTTTGTCGCCCGCTTTTTTTTAAAGGGAGGGAACACTCGAGGGGGAATAATACTGTACGTTCACATACGCGAGCGCGTGCATCGCATCCCGACGACCATAAATCTGGCGGCCGGTAGACCTTTCGCGGATCTTGGAAAACGTTCCCTGTCCCCAGTCCCGTGTCCCCGGCGCAGTCGGAGTGCGCGACGAATTTATTATATTGTACATGTTATATATACGCCTTCGTGGCTTTTGGCCGTTCTATATTGTGCGGCGTCACTGCACCGTATATCATATGCCCATGGAAGAAAAAAAAAAATAAAAAAAAAATTACGTTCCGACAACACCACGAGGGATGGCCGAATATACACCGCCGCGCGACCCGGGGTCTCCGAGAAACTCGCGGACTCGATGACGCGTTCGGCGGTACGCCGGCCACGTGTCGGCTTTGGAAAATCGACGACGACGACGGTTAATAAATATTATAAACTTGTACGGAAACGAGTCCATAACGCAATGTGTACGGCGGAGGTGCACTCGAACGCACTTGATATGTTTCACGTAAGACTGTGCACGCGTCGTCTAGACGCATAATAATTTACTACTCGAACCGCCGGTTCGAAGTGCAATCGCGTGTACGGAATCGGCAGTCGCGTTATAACGGTTTGAAAACCGCGTTCGCGGAGCTGCGTGAAACAATACATTTTGTAGAAAAATAAAATAGTAAAAACTTGCACGGTTCTAATACGATTCGCCATCGGTATTTTTCGGTATTCGGCGGTATGCGGACAATCGGTATTGTAACAGAGCTAGGTACTCGACATTTATACCCCACGTCAAGAAAGTGCTAATATATAAACATTCTGAGAAAATATTAAGGCCCTACGATTATATTTAACTGAATAAAAAAGAAAAATAAAAAAAGGGAAAACACTATTGCGCAATTGTCCTTGTTTTAGATTCTGAGCGGAGCGACGAATGTATTGGTTATACAATAATGTTTTTATTTTTTTTTTTCCTGTGAACCAATTTTCTACCAGTAGTTTCGCTTCGATTATCAAGTGTAGCATCTCTTTTCGGAGGGAAATTCGACTAGAGGTACTTTAAGAGATTATTTACGGGAAATATTGCGAATTATATTAAAGTCGAATCGTAAATATTATCGCTTTTCAAAATCGTTTTTCGTTAGCAATGGATATTCGTTGCGTTTATGTGTATTGTATATATTCTATACATTCAATTTTCCCTTTGCCTCCCAACTTCTCACCTGCAACCGTGGCCCACATATCGTGTGAAGTATGTCCGTTTTTTTTTTTTTTTCAGTTTTCCCAATTATTAATAAAAGTACCCACAAAGATAACCACAGAAATAACCTACCTACAATCGCCAACAACTATGTTGAACCGGTGCCGAAGAACGAAATCGTTCCGCCGAAACGTTTTTATGTTATGGCGACTTCAATTATCTCTCGCAATATCATTTTTGTCCGATACACTTTAAACTGCTGCAGTGTTCGAAATTACATTTCAAATGCTTACTGTATAATAACATAATCGCTCGGCGTTTAATTATATCAAACGCCCGGCTTTGTGCCCGAGCTTATAATACTGTACACTTAACGATCGCTGAGAGTTATTGTGTTGAGCGCGCAATTGCCCAGAGACGTTTCGCGTTTATTCGACGACGATGCTGATGATAATAATAATAATAATACAAGATTATTGTGCAAGTACTAATAATAATATAGTAAAACCCGTACAGTCCTAATAATAAATCGACCATATAGATGATAGCCGGCTGTGCGGTCTGGTGTAGTCTCGTAAGAGATATGCCATTTGGCAGCCATCATAATATTATTATGTAAAGGGCGAAAATTGTATCGATTCGCCGATGAGATATTTAGGGACGCGCCACGTGAATTATGCGGTCATACATATGGCCAAGGTAAAATCGATAGTACCGATATTTCCAATTTTGTTCATAATTTCACGCATGCACATACATTTATCACGTCACATCGAAGACGGCCGACGATATCCCCAAATGAAAACAGAACTCGGGCACGATTCCGGCACCGCCATGTAACGTTAAAAATTTCATTATCCTGTCATTATCCTAATAATGTGGACATGTTGGTGTTTTTATACCAAAACCGAAAATTATTTTGCCGAAACTGCATATGAATAGTTTTGTTTATTTTAAGAAACGTTTTTCTTTTCAAATTATTAGTCTAATTAAGTATTCGCCTATGAATTAGGTTTCGTTTAATGTTTATATCAATAAACTTTCTTAATCGTTCAATATTTCAGGATAATAAATATTTATATAAATTGTATTTTTCCAATAATGATTTTTTTTATCTACCTGTAGAATTTATTAAATTTTTATTCGCGTAACAATATATTTCACTTGAAAAATCGAAAAATGAATTCCGGAATGCACCAACTAGATTTAGAATACTATAGAAAAGGTGTCTTGACATTTTTTGATCAGAATAAAATTTTTGTAAAAAAAGAAAGTCAACATTTCAAAAAAGATAACTTTATTCGTCACTGACTAGATATAATATGCTACATATAAGGAAAAGTTTAAAATACGTTTATTTGTTTATTTTAAAGTTTATATTCTCGTGTACCTATTTACCTTTTCATGTTTTTTCGCATTCACGAATTCCGGATTACACGGTTTCTAGCACGGAATTCTTAAACTTACCTGTACACGTGTAATAAGCAGTTCTAGTTTGTATAACGCCCTATTTTGCCTAATCTTTTAGTTCATTGTTTTTTTTTTTTTTTTTTTTTTTTTTTTTTTATGAACGTGGAATAAAGATGTTGAAAACCATTTCAGTTCCTAAAAATGGTTAAAATTACTGTTTGAAGTTAGAAACAAAACACCAAAAATGATTAAGTGTTCTTGAAAATCGATAGTCCAACACAATCATACGTTCATCTTATTTTAAGTATAACTTAACGTTACATAAAGTTTAGCTAAGTTGATTTTTCGGTGCCAATATCAATATGACAACAAAATGATGTATCTTAAAAACAACAATTTAATGATAAACTAGGTGGCAATTGTCGACTGGTCTAATTTTACATCTGTTTAAAACCAAATCAGTTATGGTCGCTCTTATTAAAAAACGATTATAACACAATTTGTTATCAATCAACTATAATAACCTGTTTGAAAACTCCTTAAAACATTTTAGAAATGCGGTTCTAAAATAATTAGAAGTCGGCGTACGTTAAATGTTTAGGCAATTATTCAAGTATCAAGTGTGTACCCCCGATTTTTTTATAATATAATCTAACGGGTTATATTTTTCAAAAATAGCAACTTATTTGCGGTCAATAATAATGATTCCATATTTATACAGTACGATAAACTCTATTTTGGAGGGCGGTCGATTATTATTATAGTGTATATATATATGTGGGGGGATAATAGCTGTCGTTTAATCGAAGACAAAAAAAAAAAATGCTGCTACGACAGCTGGGGAGAATGCGGCACACCGCGGTATAAATCGTTATGTCGACTTTCACGATTATTATCAGTTCTAATACCCGAGATTCAAAGATCGGTTCGCCATGCAATAAATCTTTTATATTTTTTGCCGCGTTTGCAACTAGGATAAAAACGTTAAAATGGCGAATTCCCCGTTTTCTATCGGCGTCGAAAATTATATTTACGTCCGATAAATTCGGACGGTCGAACGAAGAGAACGGCTCTCGAACGTTAAGTTAATCAAACTTCTCCCTCCCTTCCGTTATATTTCACCGGGGTGGTAAAATATTAGGGGTCACCCTAGTGAAATAATTATACTCTATACCGGTCAAATTTCTTCGGTTTCTGTCCCCTCGGTAAACTATAATAAAGGAATCAAATTTTACTAGTGAATATTTACCCTCGGGTTAAATATCAGAAGGTCAACAACCGCTGGGGAATATTAACCAATCTTATTGGTCAAATTATCACTGAGGTACTGTCTTAATGAAGTCGCCTAAAGTATTATTTTATAATCATTTAAATGTACATTATTACTTTTAAAAATTTTACTATTCTAGTGACGCGTCATATTTTGGTAAATATAAAATTGTAAATTAACATTAGGAAAATATAAATATGACCACGAATATAGCTAAATGAACTAACGTAAACAACTATAAGAACAAAAATAAAGTAAAATTGGATAGAATGAAACGCATTATTGGTAGTATATAAACTATATATTTTCGGCTGTCCAGTACTCAGCCGTGTCCGTGGATATCCGGTTGGTTAAGTTAGATTTCCGTGCGTACAGGATCCCGGTATCATTGCGAAACACAATTTAATATTTAATTTTTTATATTATTCGCATAATTATATAGTTTCTTTTTTATCGGTGTCTCAAACAAAATGTTATTGTATATTCTGCAGACACGACATCGACGAAAAGGTAAATGTATGATTATTTTCCGAAACGATATTATGACCACGTCTGCAAGTAGAAGATGGACATTTTTTTTGGAGGAGAGGGTTGGGAGATTCGAAATAGACATAGACGTATTATTATACTCGATCGTAGAGGTTGTCCCCGTAGGACGTGAGTGTCACGCACGCGAAACCGTTCGATCATCCTATAATAATACTGGCCACAGTGAAAAGTTAGCGGTGGAGGCGCGGGGACGACGTTTCAACCGACCAAGTGGAATTGTCCCCATGGGAACTCTTGATAAAAAAAAAAAAAAAAAAAAAAAATGGGTAAAAAAGAAAGGAAAAAAAAAACCTGCGTGGTGGAAGAAAAACACTCTAGTTACAGGGTCGCCTGTATCCACGATAGCAGACTTCTCTGCGGTTCCACAGGAGCCGCTGCCATCACGGCCGTCGGTCTCGTCGTCTCTTTAGAACCAATCGATTTCCTATACCCCGCCTCTGCAGCGGCCTTTACGTGTATAATAATATGATCGAAATGTTTTTCCAGCACAACCGTTCATACCCAGCTATCTACCGCACCTCATCGCCGTCACATCATCTACCCTCGCTCTAAGGTGACTCACAATCGTTTCTCAAACGTGTTTAACGTGCATAACGACTTTGTATGCGAAACCTTTATACACCTATAACCAGTACTCGAATTAAAAGAAGACGTAGGGGAAATACGTACATCAAATAATTTTATAAACATTTTAGTGCATCTCTTCTATTTGTTTTAAATGGAATGCACGAGAATTTAAAATTTAAACCTGATACGTTTATTTAAAAAAAAAAAATATAAATCATTTTTTATTTTTTTACATTATTTTTTTTAATATTATCATATAACAAGTAGTATAATTGTTCAGTACTACATAATATTATATAGGTGGTACCATATAATAGATATCTACACTATACTTCAATACCATCGACTATATTGTATATTCAATGTTAAATAAACATATGGCTATAGCATAATTTAGTGGGAAAAACAAATTTGGATTTAAACGTTTATGATTTATAATTTATAATTGTTTATTTTTGAAATTTAATAATTTATTTAAATGTATAATGATAATAAATTTAATGCACTACTCTATTATTGGTATATTATAAAATAAGTCATATGGAATAATAGTACATTGCATCATGCATAGATACAATAATAACATATTTGTATTAAATTTAAAAATAAAATAAATGATACACACATGGATATTAGACATTAAGTGTAAAAAAATATGCAGGTACCTATAAAAAAAATGTATTAATTAGAAACATATTTAATACGCTACAGCGTTTAAGAAATTTACATTCGATTTTGATTATTGACTGCAGATTTTGATTATCTAGTTATTCTTTTAATTATTTTTGTAAAAAAGTTTAAAATATTATAATTGAACATGTTATAAAAATATATATTCATAAGTATTAAAATATTTTGTAGGTACTAAGGTACCATATGAAAGGTATTTATATGTAGTACTAACCAGTAATACTGCTTTTTATATTATTATGTGTAAAATAAATATATTGCTTTTATTACCACTCGCTTTTTTAGATTTCGAGTGTAGCGAGGGAGCTATTGGTTTTACAATGCTGTTTATTTCTTTGTTTGTTCTAGTCTGTGGCCACTTTTTTTCCTAGTAAACTTGCTCCAATTTTTACGTGTAGCAATTTGTCTGAAAGCTAAAGTTATCTAGATGGTACTCTAGACAGGTCATTTTCGGTTGATTTTCGACGTCATTTTTTAAATAAAATCACTTAAGTGGGAAAAAACGTACAACGATTTCATTATTTTATAAAAACACGGACGACGTTTTCTACCAGAAAAAAATGATTTAATCGAAAAATGACAAAACACCTTTGTTGCCTTTATAGTTTACTTTCTTACGGTATCAAAACGTTTGAGCTTTTAAGGATTTTTAATTTTTGGGAGTTGTTTGCTGTAATTCGGTTCTGAATACTCGATGAGACTTGAAACTTGGTAATAATACTTATATATAGCCTTTTTTAAATTTTTTATAATGGTGCTTTATTTTTTTTTATACTGTAGACCACTTTTATCCTAGAAAATTCTCTCCGATGTATATATGTGATCGACTTTTTCTGACAGAAAATTTTATTTAATTGGTAAATACATAGGTCATTTTTTGATTTGCGAAACAATATTAAATATAAAAACGATTAACCGCGAAATAAATACGATTTTTTTAAGATTTTGTTATTTTAAATGAGTCCCTTCCACGTTTTCTAGCACAAATTTTCTAGCTCCAATTGAAAATCAACTAGAGGCCTTATTTATGTTGAATTTTTTTTAATAAGCGATTTGAAATTATATTCAAACGAAAATCGCGAAAAAAATTACAGCACTTCAAATTATTTATAACCGAACTGCGCTCGTAGTCGTCTTTCGTTAGCAATTGTTTATCGTATCTTACAGAAATAAATTAAATTATAATATATACAATTTTAAATTAAATATCTATACATATCTTGCACTCTATCGTTCCACCTATAACCGTATCTGCTTTTTTTTTCTTTTTTATTTTTAATATTTTTTGAAAATTTTATCTGGGTGATAAAGAAATTTTTCATGTAGTTTTTGAAGCCGAAAAACTGGAAGATTTACAAAATAATGGTTTCTGCAAAAATGTATTGTTGTATACAGTTAAAACATAAATAATTATATCTACTCAACATATCTTACCTTCTTAATATGCCCACCAACAATAATGATACACCTACATGATGGGAATTAGTTCCACATCAGTCTTTTTCTGTTTGATTTAGAAATGTTAGGAAATGATGACCACACATTTAGGTGCAAGTAATTCGAACCTTTTAGTGACATGACATAAATCCGGATAATACGAAAAACGGAATTCCGAATTTAAAAAACTTTTCAATTTTAGGTTTTGAAATTTAGGATCATGATAAGTTTTTAAATTGTATGTTGCCTAGTTAAAAGTAACCCAAAATACCGATTTTAAATAAAATTACGGATATTGTGTTTCGAATATCTGGATTATCGAACTTTGGCAAATCCGAATTTTTCCGTATTTCAAAAACGGTCTTCGTAATTTTGTAAGTTTTAGGTGTTTTTCATCCGTACTTATTTCGATTGATAGTCCTATTCATAATTTTCATGTTTGTGTATTTAATATGACAACACATACAAAATTTAAATAAATAGGTACAATTTTCAGCCTGACAGTCACTTCAATATAGAAACTTTTATTTTTTAATTTTACTCGTTTTTCGGATCGTATTACAAAATGCGTCAATATGCAATCAAAGAGATATTTTTGATTTTTTTTAAAACATTTGTATTTTTCGGCATTTAATATTTAAATGAAAAAACTGAACACATCACATTAAGCGTGAATAAATGATTCGATTCCAATAATGTTTTTTCATTTGTTCGTTTTCTGATCACGCCATATACCGTTAAAACATTATTATAATAAACACAGTGACGTAATAATGGTAATAGTCCCGCCACTCTGCCGATCGCACTTTTTTAATCTCGTCTCACTAAAAACAGTATAAATACGCCTCGAGATCACGATACAGACATAACACATTTTTTTTGTGCGAATTTATTCATTGGTGAGTACACCCGCTTATCATTATTATAATATACTCACGAGACCGAGTATACATATTACGTATAGTTTATACATTTTCTAGTCTGTTACAAATTTATGTTATTGTGTGTTTTTTATTATTGTTTGCAGTCTTCACTTCGTTTCACGAAAACCAAAACCAAATATCAAAAATGGGCGCTGAAAAGATATCCATGAACGTCGTTGTCGTCGGACAAGTCCAATCTGCCAAAGCCCCCAAAACCGTCGCCATGGCCGCCCCAGCCACCAGCCAATTGATGGTGAGCGTACTATTTTAATATCCGTACTTATTATTGTTATAGTTATTACCCACTTGTTAAACTGTTTCATATGAGGCGATGCAATTGTGTTTTATAAACAATTTTTTTCTTCATAAAATATTAACAAAAACTTCCAGATTAAAACTTTTCGGCGATAAAATGATTAGTCTAGATGTATATTAATTTTTCCTCTGGAAAACACAATGTGTACTATTTTTTTTTCCGACCCGTCATCAAAATCTATTGTTTGAATAAATTGTTTTTTTTTATTTTATTTTTTTTTATTACCGATCCATCATGCATTTTATAGTGAATATTTTAATTAAGAAAATATTTTAATACACTTCGTTACTGAAGACAATTCTTAAACTCTATAATTCTTTGATAAAATAATATATTACTCGAACGAAAATAAATTATACATATCAAAATTATTGTAATTATTTGTTTGCACATTCAGGGTGTTTCAAGTAAATATCGCAAACGCAATAAATTTCGTACTGTTCAGTATTCCCGTGTTTTAATTTGTTTTTTTTAAGAATTTATTGCGATACCTATAGTTTGTGTATTTTATAATTTTAAAAACTAAAAATAAAAAAAAAAATTATTTTTTACAAAATTGGAAATAGCGATTTTATAAATGTATAATATTTGAAAAAAAAAATGTTTATGTTCTATATGTTTACTAATGATAATACGTTAACTGTCTACAATCTTTTGAAGTCCACGATAATTTAATTTGTTTCATTACCGCTACTGAATAACACAAATCAGTTTACCATTTATTCATAAAAAATAATTTCTATAAAAATCAAACAATTTTAGAAACTTTTTATCATAAGTAAATATTTGTAACAACAAAATTTTGTTTAAAAATATACTTGTAAAATAAATATGTATATATAAAATGCGAATTAAAAATGTCTATTATTAGTTTAAAAAAAAAAAACACATTAAATTGAGGGATCCTATAGTGCAAGACACTAGTAATTATTAAGAGAAAAGAAAAATTCAAAAATAGTTTACAGAACAAAAGTTATTACATTTATCATATCTCCGTGATACATCCTGTGAAGTAACTTCAGTCGTTTAAGAACATTGTACTTACCTACATTTACCTCATACATATATTTATTTAATTTTTATTGTTTTTTTTTTTTTCAGTCCTGTTAAAATCACCTAATCCACACATTGCAAACTCAAAAATGACATAGCCCAAACAATATTATGTAATTATTTATTAATAACATGTATTGACACTTCGAAATAAACCAGTTTTATCCGTTTACGATGAATTTTATTTTTTTATTCGTTTTTTAAAATTGTACAACAATAATATACCTACTAATAGCATAAAATAGTAGACCTACTAAACTGGCAAATTAATATTGCCGCGTCAAATTAATATAAATATGCGGTAAATATTTTCAATATTAATTAAGAACGTACTTTTTGCATCACTTTGCGAAGTAATTTTAACACCAATCAATAGTTAATAGACGAGACTTAAAAATGCAAACACGGATAACTATCAACTATTTTTTTATTATTCCAATCAAAAACGTACCCCGATACTATCTATAGTGTATATTATCATCAATAGACTAATATAGTCTATATTGAAGCTGCTGATTTTTCGTACGCGTAGCGTAGTTAATTATATATTAACTTTATTGCGAACGTTATTGTAGTGCGTTTCGGTAAGTTTCGTCATTTTCTTCAAAGCCGTCCAGACACCCAACAAATCATTAATTTTCTTCTTGCGTTGTTTGCAACACTAAACGCACCGGATTATACTCGAGTTGAATTTGTATTGAAAAATTATTTTTTATATTTTATTTGCATTTTGTATAGTAAAATAACCATTATATAGATAATATAAATAAACAACGTGCGTCGTTTACGGATTGGAAGTACTATACTCGTACGACGTTTGGACTTCATAAATAAATGTTAGTTTGGATTTCTCACACAAGAAGCGTATTATGTCGCACAGTATTTTAATTTTGTTTTAATGTTAATTTAAAAAAAAATATTAAAATATTGATTAATGTGTAACAACATTAAACTACCGATGATAATACGATAAAATAACCTTAGATTATCATTCGAATGCCACGCGTTGACTGAAAAAAATAATTGTAATGATAAATAAGCATTGTTATGAATATTTAATAATTAATGAAAAACACATCAAAAAAAAAAAAAAAAATTAGATTATGAAGTGATTGGAACTCCCAACTAGTTATACATTTGTGATTCATAACACAACGCTAAACTCATCGCCTCCCTTGATATTCCTACCCGGATACCCATCATAAATGACATTACCGTTTTGCAAATGTACAAAAGTATTACTATGATATTTCATCATCTAAAAATGAAATAGTTCAGGAAAAGCGTTTTTAAATTATCTAAAAAAATTATTTTTCATTAAATACGGTTTCGGTAATATTTTTTTTTTTTCAATAATTTGTGTACTATGCAACTTTTGTAAAACCTTTTAATTGGGAGTATGCAAATATCATTAAAAAGACCTTTTTTTCCCTTTCAAATAATGATTCACTTTAAAAATGGTGTGTATTATTTGTATAAAACAGTATATATATTTTTTCATTATTTGAATCCATTTCGTTTTAAAAAATGGTTATTTTTTTCAACAATTTGTCGAAAAGTGATATTTTGAAAAAAAAAAACCAATAGATAATATCATTCTATTTTCGGTTAACGATTTATAAATATCAAGCAACTTTGAATAACAGTTTCTTGTTAAACAGACAACAATATTCTATTATGGGCAGAGTTGAGAAATTTTTGAATTACAGTTGGTTATTTAAAATATGCAACACGAATACTTTCCGCGTAGTCTAGTTCCAATGAAATTTTCACTACAATTTAAAATTAAGCTAGACTAAAAGGTTGATATATGTTTTCATATAATTTTTAACTCAGTTTTCCAAAAAGTAATTAGAAATTTAACAAGTTCGGAAATTGAGATGAATGGAATCAATGTGTAAAACTTGCTTACGTAGATGTTTGTATACTATTGCATGGGGGGGGGTACCGAAAATGTTGCAATAAACGTTATGCCTTACTACAAGGAAATAAAGTGTAACCGTAGAATGAACATCGTTATCAAAGAACATAGAGTTCCAAATACCTAATAGTTATCTGGTGATAACTATTAGGCGTATGTTGAACAACACATTATACCTGAAAGTAGGCACCTGCACCTTTGAACAAGTGGATGATTTACATTATATATGTAAGATACGTAATAGGAGAAAACAAAAACTGTAAAAATAGTATGTACAACGAAATACGGATTAAAAAAGTACTACAGACAGACCCTATTCGGTTGTGAACAAAAAGAAAAATTACAGTTTTTAGGTTGTTGTCCAAAACTACCGAAGAGACGGTAAACTTAATATGCGTATAGCCGGTAGTAATAATAAATACACTTTAAAGGTGATCCACTTCATATAATAAAATGAAGATACTTCGTTACTTACCAGCAGGTTAAAATGTATGCGAAAAATAATAAATAACAAAAAGAAAAATATGTAGAATTAGAGAAAAATAAATTGCAGTATGCATTCGGTACTCCGGTACTTAGTGTTCATTTTTGAATTAAATATCTAAAAAAATAAATAAATAAAAAAAAATTACATTTTTATAAAAATATACACTCGAAATGAAAAATGTTGACAAGTGACTGGCGTTATGCAGAAGGGATGATGTATATATTACTAATACTTGTATATAAAAAAAAAAGCGTGAATTATATAAGCATACTTAACGCGATATCTTTTAAGGATTACCATTTTTTTTTTTCGCGGTGTAATATTTCCAACGTGCCTGTGATGCAGTAGTGTATTATACTCTCGTTCTATCGTAATTTTTACAAGAAACTTTTAAAACGTTTTCATCGATTTATTATTATGATGCTACGGGCCGTGGGTTTACAAGTATAATAATAATATCGTTAAAACGAATTATTATAATATAATCGCATCATACCGAAATTGCCCTTGTTAAAATAATAACATGGAACTACGTATATTGTATATTGGGCCGTGTATATTGTAGCAAACTCTAAAATGTATACTTTAATTTTCTTATGCGGTTAGAATTTAGTTTTATTTTATTAAACCCGGATACCACCTCGCGTAATACGTATTTTTATATCCGCATAAGACCGTATGTAACGGTTTTTTTTTTCTTTCTTCTTTTTTTTTTTTTTTTTAATTTTCCGTGCCACTAACCTGTGTTGTGCCGCTACAGTGTAATGGTGCCATCATTTTAATATCATTATTATCGTCGTAACTATTGGCGTAAATCCAAACTGAATTTCATTTTATTATCTCTGTTTTCGTTCGAAATTTTCGTAAAATATACTCACAGTTTTCCGCATTCACGTTTATACGGCTCATTAGTTTAGGACGCGTTATTTACAGTGGCGGTGACACCGGTGTTGTATACAAACATATTAGGTACCTCGATATTGTATTCGTATTTAGCCATACGATTTTGGAAATATAAAATAATATGATACATTTTTTGTAGTATTCGGCAAAGTAACCTGACCTAACAATGGTTACAGTATACGTATATGCGTTTCGTGTTGCATCAATAAAAGTGTATGCAGAACTATTTTTATATAACAATAGTAATAACAGAAATTATAATACGAGTCAACGTTGACTTGGAAATAAAAAAGATAAAAATAAATAACAAGGTAAACAATTAATGGATAATTTAATAAATTGATAATACTCTAATAGGCTGTAAATTATTGGTTCCTGATAAGACCGTATCAAAAATACATGTGGATAGTTGTCTGTTTTTGGCACTGCAGTAGCATTTAGGTGACTTAGACATGTCCCATTCGTACAAAGAATCCGCACATCGTATGTATCCTGTTGAGTATTCACTAAAGGATACGCGGTAAATCGGAAACTTGGAGATGGGTGTCCAGGGGGTGATTAAGCTTAAGAGATTATTATCGATTACAGATTACAGATTATGACCATTTTTGTTTTCATTCGCCAACATATCGCAATTATTATAGTAAATTGTGGATCTAGTGTGAAGTTTTAAAGACTTCAATCGTAATTGATTTGCGTCGATGCTGTAGCTGTTATTTGGTTAGAGAAACAATACTAACAGCAATAGTTTCGCATACATTAGGTCAAAGGCGGGGTTTTTATTTTGTTTCATATTTTCTAAAAACTGTTTATTCTACGGATAGTCGACATCGAAGTCAAAATACTGTTATAAGGATTTTACGCGTCATAGTTAAACTTAATAACGCGAAAATATATATTGAAACGTTTAAAATAATTTTCAAATAAGACAAGTGTCTAAAGAAAGCCGGGAGAAATTTGTCTCGTCATATATTATGCCTAGTTGGTTGACTATCCGATCCTAAGAGCCACGAAACATGAAAGAAAAAAATACACATAATATCTTTATGGAAGAATATATAATACTGCAAGTATCGTACGTTGTTTTTATTGAACCGCTGTAGAAACATAAGAATGTTTATTGTTATTTTTATTCTGTGGATATTTACATACAAGAACGCAATTATTTATTTGCAACTGACACCCTACGCGCAGCTTTGTATAAAGACAATTCAAAAATATCTAGATAAAGATAAGAGATAATTACTGGAATAGTTATCTAGACGAAAATAAAATATATATACTAACTTGACTATCTAGTTTCAGATAAAATAAATAGGAAAGCTTATCTAGGTAAAAAAAAAATATTAAAAATATTAAAAGTATGTACTAGAAGTATTCGTCTAGATTTCGTAGTAAAATTGATGTTACTATAGTTAGTTTATTTATTCTTATTGGTTTTAATAAGAATAAAATATTTAACTTATTATTTATAACTAGCTGTCCTGCCCGGCCATGCTCGTGCTAATTTTTTTTTTTTTTATCCATATTCCTTTTTGGTTTTGACCATGTCAGTAATGAATGGAAACAGATAGGTGGAATGTGGGTAGTCCACTTTCGGCAGACCAAAATACGTATTTTGTTGGCATATATTTTTAAATTTTAAATTAATATTTGCTTTAGGCATTTTTATATTTCTGGATACAACACCTTATGTGTCGTACGTTCTGGGGCAAGGAATACATTTGTTTTGCATATGACACGTGAGACAGAACCACTTACAATTGACCACGGGAAAAAACATTAGACGGTTAGGTCTAAACCTGAAACATTTAGTGTTTGAACTTGTGCCTTATTGTTGGTCATTAAAAAACATAGTTACACTGAAAATTGGAACCGTTTAAACTGGATTGGTAAATTGTCTGATATCATTGGTATTCTAGGAAGACGTTTCCCCAGCTCCACAGCCAGTAAGAATTGTACACATCAGCAGAGAGTTTTTAAAAATTCTATTTACAATTTTGTGTCGTACAATTTCGGTGGACATAAGTTCCGGAGTAATATTATAGGAGAACCTATTTTTGAAATTAATTTATGCAGTGGCGTCTCTGGAAGGGTTAAAGAATTAAAAAAATTAGTTGGATAATGTACCGTCTCCTCTCTATCAATAACAGTATCAACTAAATAGTAAATTTGTGTTGGTGCATTGAATCTTAACAGTACCGTGCCATTCAG